TCTCTCTGTAGCCCCAGCTGTCCTGGAACTCACTATGTAGTCCAGGGTGGCCTTGAACTCACAGAGATCTGCCTGCCTCTGCCTCCTGAGTGCTAGGATTAAAGGCGTGTGTCACCATGCCTGGCCTTTTTTGTTCTTTTTGAGACAGGATCTCCCTGTAAGCCTAGCTGTCCTGGAGCTGGCCTCAATCTTACTTACAGAGATCCGCCTGTCTCTGCCTCCCAAGTGCTGGGACTAAAGGCTTATACAACCACGCCTGGCAGAAGATTCTTTTATTAAAAAAAATTTTATTATTTTTATTTTATGTGTATGAGTGTATTGCCTGCATGTATGTGAGTGCACCCGTGTCGTGCAATGTCGTGGAGGTCAGAAGAGGGCTTCAGATTCCCCTGGAACTGGAGTTAAGAATGGCACGTAGCCACCATGTGGGTGCTGGGAATCGAATCCAGGTCCTCTGCAAGACTAGTCAGTGCTCTTAACCACTGAGCCATCTCTTCAGCCCCAGAAGATTCTTATATAAGCAAAAAAAATATTTTTTTTTGCTTGATTTGTTTGGGTTTTCTGAGATAGGGTCTCTGTAGCCCAGGCTAGCCTTGAACTATGACATCAAGGATGACTTTATACTCCATTCCTCTCAAGGGCTGGGATTACTGGTATGTACCACCCATGCTTGGCTACAGGTAACTTTTGCCCAGAAGCTTGGAGTGTCAGGTAAATTACATATGGAGGACTCATTTATGAAACCCCTCAGCTTCTCTCTTTGAGTGGGCAGGGAGGCCTGGAAGAGGCATGGGAAACAAAGGTGCATCTTGCCAGTACACTGATCTCAACCAGCAATTCTCATGCTGCTTTGCCTTTAAGGGAAAAGGGAAAAGAGTACTTGGGCCATGGCCCATGGGGCTCAGAGGCTTCCAAATGACCTTTTCTAGCAATGGGCAAGTCAGCCCATTGCTCTTTATACAAGGCTACTGCTGCCACTAGCCCTAACTTTCATCTGGCCTGGCTACTCCTTCTCTGATTCTAGGCTTGGCCTCTCTCCCAGGCTTTCTCCACCACTGTCACTTCTTAATACTTTATCCTCTTACAACAGGCTCGCAGGATTAGAAATCATGTACCCACCTCCCACAGTCTCAGGAACTTGGACAGACTTTCCAGCCTGGATCAGAAGGCATGTGAAGGTCCCTATTGCTACATATCTGGAAGGGAAATGAATAACACTTCAGGTCTGACCCCAGAGGCCTTGCTGACCTTCTTCAAAGGAAACTAATCAGTATCCCTCCTTTTTAAAAAAATATTTTTTACTTATTTTTATTTTATGCATATGAGTGTATTGCCTGCATGTATGTAAGTATACCTGTGTCATACAATGCCCACAGAGGTCAGAGAGGGCATCAGATCCCCAGAACTGGAGTTAAAGATGGTTGTTAGCTGCCACATGGGTGGTGGGAATTGAACCAGGGTCCTCTGCAAGAGCAGCCAATGCTCTTAACCGCTGAGCCATTTCTCCAGCCC